CAAATCATATGGGTGGGGCATTGTGATGTCACATGGGGGGCAAACTTTACTTTTGCCTAGGGCGGCAAAATCCTTGCACCGGCCCTGGCTGGAGGGGGCTGTGTGAGCTGTGGCCGCACAGTGTCCCATGGTAGTTAGGGTGCCGTGCGGCCAGTACAGCTCACACAAGCAAACAGCTGATAAACTGAGGAAATGTGTATGTGTGACTGTCTGCCTGTGACTGTGTGTGACTGTCTGCCTGAAACTGAGTGTGTGACTGTCTGCCTGTAAATGTGTGTGTGGGGCTGCAGGGATTTTGTAGAAGGGGGCGGGGTTTTGTATTGGGACAGGAGTCTTTATAAGGGGGGATAAGCAGGGGATTTGTGGAAGGGGGTTGCGGGGGTTTTGTAGATGGGGCAGTACAGGATTTGTAGAAGGGGCAGGACAGAGGTTTTGTAGGAGGGGCGGGGCAGGACAAGGGTTTTGTAGGAGGGGCTGACAGCGGTTTTGCAAAGTTTACAAATTGTAAAAAAAAAAAAGAAAGAAAACCTTAACATTTTTACAGGTTTTTTTTTGGTGGGGGTGCCAAGCACAGGATCCGCCCCGGGTGCCAAATGCTCTAGGTACGCCCCTGTTGTGTTCCTGACCCTATAGTGATTGTATATTTGTAGCCTAATTTCTTATTGAGTTTTTATTCATCACAAATGGACGTGCGATATTTGCAATATTTTAACAAGCAAGAGGAAAAATTTACACCATTATTTCTTAAGTTGGTAAAACAATTCAGTTGTCCGCTTGTAAATCCTAAACTCACAATTTTGTATGATGTCCCCATTTTATTGGGGATTAGACATGTATGCTAAGTTGACCAGTAGTCACTGATGCACTAGGGGAAAAACATATGCCGCACACTGGTCACAATACTAATAAACATTGCGTACATCGTGGTTTTCTCCCCATGGGGACACACAATTCTTCAGCTTTATAGGAAATGTTGAAGTGGATAATTTGTTATGTTTGAAACTGTTTAAAGTCCTATTGAATAAACTCAACAGCCCTAATTCTCATTTGGCAGATAGTTCCTACCAAGTTCAGCTGCACACAGGAACTAACTTTGGAAAGAGGATTGAACTCAGTATGGTTTCAGCAGCTACAGCATCCAGCAGGGATGAAATCTCATACTGCCCCAGGATTTACAGCACTGTATACCCACAAGGTAGGTTGTCAAACTAATATACAATGATTTACAATATCAGGACTGAGCTTAGAGTTGCCTACAATTTAGTCATAGACTATTGAACATGTAACAGCTTGTGATAAACACCCCTAACACACCTTACACACAGACTGCACCACTTACACACATATTGCACACCTCCACACAGCACCCCTTACACACACCTTACACACACGCATAGCATCCACTATACACACACACACACTGCACCCCTCCTACACAAACTGCACCACTTACACACAAAGACGCTGCACCACACACACACTGCACTCCTTACACACAGACTGCAGCCCACACGCACACTGCACCCCACACACACCTTACACACATAGACTACACCCCTCACACACATACTGCACCACACACACTGCACTTCTCACATACGCACATTGCACCTCTTACACACCGGATGCACCCTTCACACACACACACACACACACACACTGGACCCTCACACACAGTGCACCCATCACACACACTGCACCCCTCAAACACAAATTGAAACCCCTCACATACACCTTGCACCACTACACACATTACATTCCAGACACACACACACACTAGAACCCCTGCACAACTATGGATCCTCTACACACACTAACATGCCTATACATACTCCGAATCCTCTACACACACACTAAATCTCTTATGCACACTGTGGGTCCTCCACGCATACAATAGATCCCCTTATAGGCACACACTGCACCACCTACACACACATATGCACAAATGACATATGCACTCGGGATCCCCTGTGCAATCCCCTGTGCACAAACTAAATCCCCTGTAAGCAATTGCATAATACAGTCTCTAAACACACACACTTTACAACCCCTACTCACACTACATAACCTATACACACATATACTACAGCCCCTATGCACACACTCGCTACCTCCCCTATATACACTATGCCATCTATACACACACACTCTCTCTTACAGCCCTAGCCTCACATATTATACCACAAATACAAGATAACTGAAACTGGCCTATTTACACAAAACACCACACACACGCAATCCCACAAGCTGCCTCCAAACACATGCACAATACGTTTTACTGGCAATTACGTCCACTGGTATCCCACTTATGGAGACAGCAGAGACAAGTCATAAGCTAACACAGCACAAGCATGTTAATAAATGTCCTTATGCTGCACAGAACAACCACAGGGCCTTTTTCTCATGCGAAAGCACATCAGCAGGGCTCTCCGCAGTGGCTCTGCACATGGGCTGCCCTGGAAGAGCATTGAACCAACATGCTCACTTTGAAATGGGGAGTGCTTGTCATTAGTGATGACAAAACACCTCAGCGGATGGATGGATGGATGGATAGATAGATAGATAGATAGATAGATCTTTTCTGCATATGCAATATATTTAGACATTTTGTTTAGAATTATGATAATGTAAACAAGAATATTAACAAGAAAGCAAAATATGCGTGTCTCCAGATTTTTTGTAATCTTAAAGTGATATACTGACCTTTTAATAGTTTCAATCTTATATTCATGATTTTCCATTTCTGTAACCTCCATCCACAGTCCGTGCATGTCTGAGGATAGAATACTGTCAGGTATATTGCGCAGAAAATCCTAAATCAAATACACACATATAGTATGATTGTCAGATGGTCGGGAAACAGATGGACACTTATCATTTCACACTCACTGATCCAACAAACAGACATTTCCATAAATATAATAAAGTATGTAAATTGTTCTGAAAAACTAGACCTGCATGGCTTAACCAATTACTATACATTATAAAGCCAGGAGATACACATCGGTTACACTTATAATCTGGTTTAGAACTATCGATGGTGCCTACAATAATAAGAAGCACAATTAATTATCTTGTTAGATTGATTATTAATTCTTAGAACTGGTAAACACTATATACTATACCACTGTAACACTGGTATAACACTATACCATATCACTTTCCTTGCTCTGCTAGTTTGATATAATAGTATAAGTACTTCTAAAGCATAGTTGACAAAAACAATATAGCATGGCAAAGTATAGCAGAGAATGGCATAGCATGATATAGTATAGTACAGTATAGAATAGCATAAACATTATTATACAAAATTATACCATACCATAGTATAGTATATATAACTAAACAATAAATAAAAATGCAAGAATAGAAATAAATAACAGGGTCTTGGCTTTTCTCTGAAATATGTTTCACCGTGTAGACCTTTTTTTCTCTTTCTCTCTAATTCCTCTTGTACAAATTACGATAAAAAGGTCAAGATTGATGATTTTGTATTTTTTTTTTAATTCTTTATTTTTGTAGTGCTAGGTAGGTACAAGATCAGTTATTTCCCATTGACATGAGAATGCGTTTACAAGATAACAGTCTGTTCATTATAGATCGGTTCCACATGTCATTTTAACAGCACTGTATTTTTTTTTTAATAAAACAAGTTAGCTTACATGCAACAAAAACCTGGAGCTTAGAATGAGATTTGTATTACTGGTAATCTAGATCAGGTTTGGGATGTATGTTATGCATGTTTAGGGTGTATGCATAATTGTTCCATGTGGAACTTTAGTTATGCAGGTGAGAGAATGTTAGACTAGCGGAGTGTGGGGTCAGGTAATTTAGCAAGGCTTGTGCCGTTAGGTAGCATGGGGGTGCTGTTCCTGACAGTTGTGCCTGGCGTTACCTCTCTGAATAATATGAGATGGGATGAGATGTGACCCTAACCGAGGGGGCTGCGGGGGGAGGGATGGTATGTAAGTAAAGTGGCTTGCCAGTGTTAAAGTAGGATGTGGTCTCTGGGCCGTTATGGTCCGGTGTGTGCTAGCAGGGTCTCGTCTGCTCCACTGCCCTTATGTGTTGGGTTGCATAGGGCGATTTTCCAGAGGTGTGTGGGAGGTGTGTAACAGGAGAAGACTGCTAGAGCAGAACACAAACTGTAACTATGCACAATTATACATGTCAGTATCAGCAGTTTTAGTCAGGTGTTGAGGGAGTCCATGCCTCCTGCTGCCGGCACAAAGGGCGCTATGTTTGCCGGATCCCAGTTGTGTTGTGACGCCTGGGGAGTTTCGCTGGGGTGAGGTACCAAAAGTCCCAATGTGGTGAGGAGTCTTGATGCTTCCAATGCAGAGTTGATTTTGTGCTCGGTTGCATCTTGGGTCACTAGAAGGGATCGAGGTGTTCCCAACCTGTACCTCACTCCTGCTGTGCGCAGCTTAAGTGTGCCTTTCCGGAGGGATCTGCGCCATTGCAGAGTTGCTCTCGTTAGGTCTTGATATACTGATAGCTGTGCGCCCTCAAAGGTGAATGGCGTCTTGAGGAGCCCCTTGTCTTGGGAGGATTTGCAACGTAAGATAACGTCCCGTGGGGTAGCTGTGGCTGGCGCTGTTGCGTCAGGGAGTCGGTATAGCCCATCCATAGTAAAACTTTTAGCTGCCTGTGGGGGTAGCACTGTTGCCACCAGCCGCCGCAGAAAGTCGGGCAATTCGTCCGCCGTGACCACCGCTGAGATGCCGCGGATTTTTATATTGTTGCGTCTCTGATGATCTTCGAGGTCAGACAGCTGTGAGGTAAATATAAGCTGGGTAGATTGTACCTTGAGGAGTGTTTCCTTCATGATAGAAACCTCTGCTCTAATATCTGACACTTCCTCCTCCGCGGCCCTCAAGCGGACTGTCACCTGCTGTACAACCTTCTTGATCACTGCTATGTCCGCAGCCCACAGTTTTTGTATGTCCAGGAGCAGTGTTTGGAGGTCTTGCTTGGTGGAAAGTGTTCCCACCAAGGAGTCAAGGTTTGTGGTTGCTACAGAGCCTTGGGTTTGGTGACTCTGGAGGGGCCGACATGACGACACCTTCCTCGGCCACCATCTCGGGCTGCGGCTGCTTTTGTAGCATGGTGCTGATGTCTTTGGAGTCGGACCCTGTACCAGGTGAGGCTTTCTGGTTTCTGCGCCTCATGGTGGGTGTACCGTTTGTGGTTTCAGGTCTGTACTGGGTTGGGGCAGTTGTTGCACTTTCGAGCGGTGCTCCGCCGAGTAGTGAGTGCCAGCCGGAGAAGGCCGTTGCTCTGTAGGCCCCAGACCTGCGTTTCTGTTTTGCCGGCTTCTGGGCGTGAAAGAAAGGCATGTATGCACTCCAGTGCTTGTGAAATATCGCTTGCGGGGTGTGTTGCTCTAGGATGATGCCGGTATTGATCAGGATTGATAAGATTAGCTCTGGGCTATCGGGAGCTGATAGAGATGGCGTCCGATCAGGCTCGCTGGCAAGCTCCGCCCCCCATGATTTTGTATTTTTAACCAAATATGGATTTATTGTTTTTCAACACAGTAGTTTATCTATAGAGCAAGTAATATTTTTAAATTTTTTTACAATTGTACTGCTAAGCACTCCACTTTTAAAGCCACATGAAACATTTTCAGCAATTTGAGCTACTGCAGTTCTTCTGTATGGTTGCACATATAGGCAAGCCTTTGCTCCTCATGTGCATCAGTAAGCCTTAGGCACCCATGATCTTAACCCCGGTTCACCGGTTGTCCTTCCTTGCCCCACTGCAATCCTGGGAACACATCACAAGTCATGCCATTTTTTAAATGCCCTCACTCAGTCATCTAGGCCCTTGTCTAAGCCTCTTTCACTTGTCCATTGTTCCTGCTTCCAACATATGAAGTTCAAGAGCTGACTGTTCACTTGATGCCTATAACATAACATTGTATAGTATGGCAAAGTATAGTATAGTAAAACATATTATAGTACAATATAGCACAGTAGAATATAGTATAGTATAATACAGAATAGCATTATCTATGACCAAGTATGTAGATTAAGAGTGCAAGCTTATTGGAGACCTCTCAGGTATCTAAATCTACATAGCTAACCAATAAATGTTTCGAGTTTACACTACCGTATCTTGTACCACTAACTAATAGTTACCACTCTCTACTTCTAGCTATTATAAAACTAATTTACACTGGGACAGTTTTTTTTTTTTACCATACAGTTTAACATACAGAGTATCTATTGCACCAGACACTATTGAATTCATTATGTAATAAAGAATCTGGTATGGGCCATAAATAAAATCCCTGGAATCAGAAGAGGGCCTGGGGCCACCGGCTGTTGCTGGCTCTTTGTTAATTAATGTATGTTTTATGCTGGATATGGTATGTTTTACTTATAATGAACATTACAGAAGTTCTTTTGGTTGTTTAATATTTCTGTCAAGTTACTTTGAGTGGATTCTTTCCCACATTTTGATTGCCACACAAAAGTATATTAAACATCTCATATTTTCATGCATGTAACTCCCTGGCAGATGTTTACAAGGCACTTAAAATAATTCTTATTCATTTGCTGTTGAGTCCATGACATTCTTTGTATAATTTCCAGAGGCACCTAAGGGTTTTTTTCCAGTTCCACAAAAGAGCAAGACACAGTGTGGTTATAAATGTTGCTATTAAATAAATAGCAACATGTACTAATAAATACACTAGTATCTTCTATAAATGTTAAGTTTTGCCATGTCAGCCTGCTCAGCCCAAATTGTATATAAAATATATAATGGTCCAGCATTCCTGATATGATATCTCCATTTATTTAAGGGAACAGCACACAAATTGACAATGTTTCAGTCAAAAGTCCTTTGTCAAGGGCTTAGCCAAAACGTTGTTAAGTTGCATGCTGTTACCTTAAATAAACGGAAAGCTTGTATCTGTAGTGTAGGTACTTCTTTGCTTACTCATCTGATGTTCTGCATCTATTAAGGTACTTCTTAAGGTACTCATCTGATGTTCTATATATATTAAGGTACTTATTAAGGTACTCATCTGATGTTCTATATATATTAAGGTACTTATTAAGGTACTCATCTGATGTTCAAATTTGAAATGTTGACATTTTCAGTGTTCTGGGGTTCAGTAGTCAGAATAATAAAACCAGAATTATGTTCTTAAACTTGAGCAATCCCAAAGGGTATCAACAAGAGGAAACCACTGACCCCCAATTATATAATTTATATGTATGTGAACAGGTTGTTAATCCAAGATGAAATCTGATCTCATTATGGAGTCAAGAAGGATTTTTTTCCCTTTTTGTAGCATAATTGGAAATGGCTAAAATTTTTATTTTATTTTTTTTTGCCTTCTTTTGGATTAACAGCACATAACCGTGGGTTTTAAGGTTGACATTGATTAACTTCAGTCTTTTTTTAAGCCTAGACTGCTATGTTACTATGAAATTGATCCATTTTGCTCTAACTTGATACATGTCAAAAAACTCTTTGGGGTCATTGATATCATTAAAATGATTCACACAGAGTAAGATTACAGAGTAAAATGGGACACAGAGCAAGAATAAGAGTAAAACCCTACAATAGGCCATTGGGAACTAAAATGGTAAGTATGTACCGTTATCACAGCTGCTGCAACGAACACCGACTCTCTGTCTATCTGAACATCATTCCCAGAGATCAGCTTCTCCTTCAGTTCTTTGCAAGTTTTAGCGTTGGCTGAACGTCGGAAAATCCCCTTGGTGTTTGGACCTTCCTCGTACAACAGCATAAGCATATCCTAAACAAATGATAAACAATTAGTTCTCTCTCATACAAAGTGTACGTTCAATGGCAGAATTACATCTGAGTGCTAGCTGCCAAGCAATTAGCTGACACGATCAGTGAACAAATGTTTTAAAATACACTCAGAACTTTTTTTCCATGCTAAGAAACTGCCAGATCAGTTCTCTCTTATGGATTTATTTTTTGTTTTTGATTTACAAGGCACATGCCTGGTTTATAGCCTGTTCAGTTGGAGTTTATACCTTATTTACATCAAGCCTCTGACCTCTGAAATTAAAGGGACTCAACAGACCACTAAAGCACTTCTGCTTGTTAAAGTGCTAAAGGGGTTAACTGCATCTCACCCATGTCTCCGTTTATAAAAGTGTCGATTTAACAGCATGTATTTAATATGTCAGAACCATTAACTGTCTTATCAAGAACCGATAACCTACTGATAAAGATTATCGACTGTAATTAAATTAAGGCTTTTGTGGGCAGAGTTTAATTTTAGAGTGAGTAGTGATTTAACACCTTAAGTCTTGAGCTACTATTTATGGGTAAGCTGAAGCAGAGAGATTAGTGGAGTCTGGAGATGGGGAATTCTGAAATTCTGCTCATCTACTCACTAAGAAAAACCCAGAGAGCAAATTAAAATATGTTTATATATAGACTTAAATTAGCAACATGGATGTCAAGGTATATAATGAAAAGTATTCATAATGAATCATCATAGGAATGGTAATATTGATTAAATGAAATGCAATTATTTCCTTTTTATAAATAATATATATTTTGTTCCCCCAGGATGGAAATTTAAAGCAGACTGCTCAAGGTGTAAGATAATAAAATGTATTATTTCTTACCATTATGGGTTTGGGAAGATTGCCATTGAGGCAAATAGATGACAGGGACAAGCCAAAGAGTTTTCGAGGAGTGTTTGGTGATTGAGGGACACGGCTGCTCAGAGTGGTGCTCCCAGTACGTCGAAGAGCCCAGTCAATCAGGGACTTTTTTCTTCTGGAATGTTTTTGCACTGATTCTGTAGGACAAGAATACAACGTTTTATCATCCATGTTTGCTGTGAATTTCTCATAGATACGAAGATATGGGGTTATGCAATATGGTCAACACTGGGATAATACATTAACAGCTCTGCGTTACCAAGATTTAGTAAGGATGTACATTTTATAAAATGGTTTTATAACATGCCAGAACTACTCAAAAGTCAATAGCCCTACAGCTCTATGTGCAAATGTTTGGACATCCATGACAAAATAAAATGTTTAGTTTATTTCTAAATGAAAAGAAGTTAACACTCCTCTTCTGTGATTGTAGCTAAAACACTTAATTCAACAAATGCCAGCATTTGGTTCCAAAATACCTCTAGATTATACATGGGTTGAATATTGTGATTGGGAGTAAATGTTTCCTTTTGCTGACCTTTCCATGCAAATCATGTTTGTGCAACTGTGGAAATGTCCCCTTTAGAAAGGACTATAGAGTTAGTGTAGACCAGCATTTCAAAATTGGGGATCCGCCGTAATTTCGGCAAACAAAATGGCCGCCGCGATTTGACCCGGTCGGGTGCAGCTGATAATTGACGTGGGCGGTGAGGGAGCACTCTCCCCTGTTCAGCTTCCTCGAGCCTACCGCAGTGATGCCGGAGTGATGCCGGAGCTGAAATATGACGTCACTTCAGCCTTGGCATCACTAAGAGGCACGTGAGGGAGCTGAGCAGGAAGATCACTGTTCCCTCGCTGCCCGCACTGTACACCTGCACGCCAGCTGTTCAGCCCAGCAGCCCCACTGGACCCCAGGGACCACACGCCAGCAGCCCCACTGGTCCCTGGGGAAATAGAAACTGCATGCCAGCACTCCCAAAGGTAGGGAGGTTGGGTGGAGTGAAATTTAAAAATATAAATAAATTGTGTGTTGTCAGTAAGTGTGTTTGTCACTGAGAGTGTATGTGTGTTTGTCAGTGAGTGTGTGTGTGTGCTTGTCAGTGAGAGTGCCTGTGTGCTAGTCAGTGTGTGTATCTGTGTGTCAAGGTTTGTGTATGTGTCACTGTGTGTATCTGAGTGTGTGTGCGTGTGTGTGTGTGTGTGTGCATGTCAGTGTTTGTCAGTGATTGTGTGTGTATGTGTGTTTGTCAGTGAGTGTGTTTGTGTGCTTTTCAGTGAGAGTGCATGTGTGCTTGTCAGTGAGAGGGCATGTGTGCTTGTCAGTGTGTGTGTATGTGTGTCTGTCAAAGAGTATGTGTGTCTGAGTGTGTGTCAGTGTGTGTATCTGTGTGTCAAGGTTTGTGTATGTGTCACTGTGTGTATCTGAGTGTGTGTGTGTGTGTGTGTGTGTGCATGTCAGTATGTGTGTATTGGTGTGTGTGTGTATGTTCCAGTGTGTATCTCTGTTTCAAGGTGTGTATCTTTGTGTCTGTGTGTATATGTCAGTGTGTATATGAATGTGTGTGTGCAGGGACGTTTTAGCCGCGAGGCAAACAAGGCATTTGCCTTTGGCGGCATTTTCCAGGGGGCAGCAAAAAAAGCCGCCCCCAAATGCCCAGGGCAAATGCCTTGTTAGCCTTGCGGCTAACAGTCCAGGCAGGTGGGTGGCGCTGGCGAGGGAGCACTGATTAGTGAGCTCTCTGCTCAGCTCCCTTGCTCGCCGTCCAGAGTGAGGCTGGGAGCCGGAATATGACATCATATTCCGGCTCCCAGCCTCACTCTGCGGGCGGAGCGTGAGGGAGCTGAGCAGAGAGCTCAGGGGAAAGTGCTCCCTCACCAGCGACACCCACCCGACCAGCATCCCAGCAGCCAAGCAGCCACTCGACTCCCAGGGAATGGGAGAACCCGCCCCCCACCCAGCACTCCCAAAGGTAAGGAGGCTGGGGGGGTTAAATTAAAAAAAAGTGAGTGTTTTAATGTTAGTTAGTGTGTGTGTGTCTGACTGTGTGTGTCTGTTAGTGTGTGTGTTAGTGAGTGTGTGTGTGTCTGTTAGTGAGTGTGTCTGTTAGTGTGTGTGTGTCTGTTAGTGTGTGTGTCTGACTGTGTGTGTGTCTGTTAGTGTGTATGTGTTAGTGAGTGTATGTGTGTGTCTGTTAGTGTGTGTGTCTGTTAGTGTGTGTCTATTAGTGTGTGTGTGTCTGTTAGTGAGTGTATGTTTCTGTTAGCTAGTGTATGCGTATCTGTCAGTGAATGAGTGTGTGTGTGTGTATTTAGAAGGTAGGGCGGGGGGAAGGGTTGGGTGGGGGTGGTGCGGGGTGTCTGAGTTTTGTCCTGATACACCACTGTGTTTATGTGTCAATGTTCTTATATGTGTGTCTGTGTGTTAATTTGCTTGTGTATGTATGTACATGGCATACGTACAGCAATCATATGTGCATACATCCCAGCAATTAAACATCATCCATGCAATCAAACACATATATGTGCATACATCCCAGCAATCAAACACCAACACAACATGCAAAATACTCCTGAAAACACAAACATTACATACAAAAAACCCTGGATTCAAATTTCAAATTTATATACAAACACTCAAACACTAATACTACACACAAATGCACACACGCATTTAAAAGCTAACATTACATCCAAGCACACCCCTGCACGCAAATGCAAATATTACATACAAACACACCCCTACACGCAAATGCAAACATTACATACAAACACACACATCAAAACGCTAACATTATATACAAACACCAACTGTACACACAAAAGCACACCTGCTCCTAAATACTACTATCGGTTTACTAATTGGGAACCCCTGGTGTAGACAATGACGGTTCTGAGACCTTACTAAAAAAAGTAACTAGTGAATAACTAAAAGGGTTCCAAAATGTTTGTACATGCCATATTTACTGTTTTATTTTTTATATCAATTAAAATCAGCAAATAAATAACATCTATGTATTGAAATATAAAGATATATGTTGAGTTTTCAGTTGCTCACAAACTATGTTATTCGGTCAGGGATGCTCCAACGTTTGCATAAAATTCAGTGTCTATGTCTTCACTATGTCCATACCACTGGTCTCGATCTACATGAATCAAATCACAGAGCAGTATAAGTGGTCAGGAAGAGGAATTAAATGAATTTTTACGTAAAGTGATAAGAAGTATCCACTGTAATACACTCATTGCACCAGCTATTCACCACCTCAGCAATTCCTGCTTAGTAATGCATATATAAAGTAAAATTAATTGACTTTCAAACACACATTTTCTACATGTATCAGTATTTGGAATTGCTGTTACCCAGGCGTGCTCTCTGGATCTGTGCCTCTGGGAGATGCAAGATGTCAATGCCCAGAGACATAACAGAGAGAACTGATTTAACAGAAGGGTTGCTGTTTTGGCCTGTTTAGAGCTGTTTTTTAAGCTGAAACACTGAAGAATCTGACTCTGAAATACCCAGAACTGTTCTTTTGCTAAAAGCTGAATGTTTTTTTTCATTTGTAACAAAAACGCTTGCAACTAACTGTGAGAAAAAAAACCTAAAATGTCAGAGTGCAAACAGAAAATTCCAGCAAAACAGCAAATAGCTTAAATCAACTCTATAATGTCAGGAATACAAACATGCATTCCTGACACTATAGTCCTTAAGTAGCTGTTTAGGTGACCGGCCTCTCTATCAATCTCAGTACTTAGTGCTTTTACTCACCTTTTCTCCCATTCTTCGCCAGTCTCGCCGCGGCTAACTCCACCTTCATCGTCTAGAATAGATTATCATAGGAAAGCATTGGGAGTCTATGGCCGCACTGCACCAATCAGCATCTTCTCCTAGAGATACATTGAATCAATGCACCTCTATTGGAAACGTTCTATGTCTCCATGCAGAACATGGACACGCTGAACATACGTACTGTGCAGCACTGGACTAGAAAGCATCTCAAGTGGCCGTCTGAGTTACAGACACTTGAAGTGCTACTAGGAAGCAATGTAAACACTGCATTTCCTCTGAAAAGACAGCTTTTACATTGAAATGATTACAGGGACAGGATATAGACACCAGAACCACTACATTAAACGGTAGTGGTTCTGGTGACTCTAGGGTCCCTTTAAGGTCATGCAATATCAGACTGTCTCCCGTACTTCTAGTTTTCAAACATTTTATTATTGAAATAAATTTAACAGTAATCGCGGCTTACTAAAAATCCCTTATATATGGGCTACCTGTTATATTTACCTTTAGAAGTTGTTTTCTCATCACTAACCAGAAATTAACAGGAAATGATAAATGGAACTGCAAACACCAGAGAGTGTTTCTATTTTAATTATTTGGGCAATTTCCTTATCATTTCTCCACCATCTCAGTTTAGAAAATTACGATAAATACGTTGTGGAAAGTGCAATGGATTTGGAATTGGAAGTTCTAGATTTAGAAGAAGGGAATCTGCTTTGTTTAACTTTATTGTTCCATGTGCAGATTAAGGCAAATTAAAGGGACTCTCCAGTGCCAGGAAAACAATCTGTTTTCCCTCTCCCCTCCCTCCCCCCCCGGTTGCTAAAGGGGTCAAAACCCCTTCAGTGACTTACTAGAGGCATCGACGATGTCCCTTGGTGATGCTTCTTGGTCCGCCCACGCTCCTCCCCGTCACCACGTCAGCCGGCCGGGGAGACTGATCACGCCCGCCGCCGGGTGAGACCTTATGAGCATGCGCGGCAATGCCGTGCATGCGCATTAGACCTCCCCATAGGAAAGCATTGAAAGTGTTTTCAATGCTTTCCTGTGGTGATTTTAGCATGAGGACGTCCAGCGACGCTATAGCACAGAAAATCTGTGCTATAAACCTGGAAGTGCCCTCTACTAGACAGCCACTAGAGGAGGACTTAACCCTGCAAGGTAATTATTGCAGTTTATAAAAACTGCAATAATTACAGTTGCAGGGTTAAGGGTAGTGGGAGTTGGCACCCAGACCACTCCAATGGGCAGAAGTGGTCTGGGTGCCTGGAGTGTCCCTTTAACCCCTTAAGGACACATGACATGTGTGACATGTCATGATTCCCTTTTATTCCAGAAGTTTGGTCCTTAAGGGGTTAAGGCAAATAGCAAGTGAGACTGTGGAATGGCTTTGTCTTTTGAGATATGATTATTAAGGGCATTTACTGAGATTCTTTTCAACTTTAAACATTTATGTGTGTGGCACCATCCTCACATAAGTACCCAGCATTCAAAGTCTGATTTATGTTTTCTCCTAAATAAAAATATACAAATGGCAGATGTATTACATTACCTCTCCCTGCATTCTCATGGACTTGCGGCCTTAGTCTCAGGACGAACTGGCAATGTCTCTCCCTGGGAAGCTGCTCTACGATAACAGTCTCAGAGCCTTGATCTAAGAAGAGGTTGTTGTTGCTCCCCTTTGGCATCTCATGGGATTCCCGAAAACAATGCAAGGCAATGCTGAAAGGGTGCTCGTGGCCTGACAAAAGAGAAGTACAATAAAAGACAGTGTTTCATTAAAATTATTTACACACTGATGACAGTCATGTAATGTGGGAATAGATTGGTAAACATAATAAAACACAACTAAAACAACTGCATTTTCAATATAATTTTGCTTTTTTCCTAAAAAAGTCAGACTTTTTACTCCGTCTGTATTCTTAGGGTAATATTGTAGGGTAATACTAAGGCATAAGATTATTATTTGACTTTTTCTAGCATCACAGGTCATAGCTATTATAGTAAAGGGACACCAAAAGAACCATGACCACTTTATCACAACAAAGTGGTCTGTTTTCAGTGCCCCTGGCGATTTTTCCTGAAATCTAAAACATTGCCTTTTAGTAGATATGGCAATGGTATGATTGTAGAGCAAAACATACCCCTAGTGCCTGTCTTCCTGACAGGCAATAGAGCCTCTGCTGTGTCCATAACTGAGTTTGACTTGGTTATGTGACATTCAACATCCTCACAGAATATCGTCATATATCACATTGCATTTCATTCCCAATGCTTCTCTGTGAGAAGAATTGGATTGGACAAGAACCCAGGAAGCAACACTTGTAGGTTTAGGTCACGGGAGGAAGAACAGGCGACATCAAGTGAGTCTCTGGGCTGGAAATAAAGGTAAGTAAAACCTTTTTTAAATTTAATTTGTATTCTATTTTTTTGCAGTGTAGCGCTTAATAGCATATATCCTCCAAGCTACATTACATCCTGCATAGTACAACACAAAACACATCATAGCTGTCCAATTGCTGGAGCCATTTAGCAAGCGCTAGACCTTCATTGCACAGAGCACAGATTTAGATAATTCTGTTTTAGATCATCTCTCACCATACAATGGATAAGAGGGTTCATCCTTTCCAGATATCACCCACAAATGGTAGTCACCTGGCTTGCCCTAGGGACAGAAAAACATAAATCATGCAATTATGGCATTATGTATAAACTAGTGCCGTTTTTGGCCATTTGTAATCACACTAAAGCAGGGTTTTATTTCTATAACGAACCAATCATCTTGCTTCCTCTTCATTGTCTACAAATTCATTTAGGATACTTTACATCGTGTGATTAGATCTAACTAGTCAATAAAGGTTTTTTTTGTTCCTGGAAAATTCCTAAGAAATATCACTTACTATATTATATAATAGTGAAGAGAACGTTAATGTAAAAAAAAACATTACTTCTAGTGCTCTCTTCCCAGCTGATTCCATCACCCTTTAAGGGAACGGGTTGTCTATTTTGCAAGGGACATTTCTCTTCTACCAGTATGAGATATAGGGGGAATCGTCAGAGGACCTTAAGTTCCCGGGTAGGTAATAGCAGTGCTACAGATATCAAGATGTTTCGGTTTTAGTTATTCTTGATCATTCTGATATGTGTAACCTACATAACCATACATCATTAAAACTGAATTACGTAGAAAAAGCAAAGTAACCAATGTGTACTTACTGGAATTCCGAGTTGCTCAGAAGCCATTCTAATTACTTTGTCTGCATCGTCCATATTGGTTACATTTATGGTGGCGCTCTGGAAAGAGGGAGTGAGTTATGAAAATTCTCTACAATTTAGAAATATTCTAGCACAGAGATATTTTAATATGCTTTACATAACTGAAGCTAGAATTAAAAATATTTACAGATGCCTAACCCCAAATGTGTGTGTTTAGAGATGCATTATAAATGAAGACTCAGCATCTCTTACTTCCCATGCCAGATGTGAGCTGATGTAACCGTATTAGGGAAGTGATCACACTGATCTTGTTTACTTTGTACTCAGCAAGATTAGCAGGACATAGTTTTTGTATATTCATTAAAGATGTGGTCCCCAGGGCTTACAGCAGGAACAAACCCTGCCTGTGTTATCTATTGTTTTGCAAAATTCCAAAGTTCTGCTTACTTCCCACCACTCTTAGTTTATTTGATTGCATCCCACCTACATTTGTAACAGTTAACCTTTGGTATGGCAGCTGTAACGGATTACATTTATCACAATACTCGGGCAGCTCAATGGCTAATTAATGAGACAAATAGAATCCATAATGGATAGTATATAAAGATAATTCATCACTTCTCTACATATCTACAAGGAAATCTGCAAAATAAAGTCCAAACTACTGAACTGGAAAAATTCTCCAATTCCCCTGTACTTCAAATGTGGGTTGTCAATTCACCATAATTTGCAGTTTAGTGAAAAAGGCTCCTCGGGGATCCTAATGAGCTATACACATCATTAAATTAGAAGCTTGCAGTTTTGCACTCCTAAACAAAATATTCTGAGAACTTTACTTAATATTCATCAGAATCCTTGAACATAATGTTTTAAATCTAAATCTGATCTTGGACACATGTTTTAGAGAAAGATGATGATATTTCAAAGTTCACTGCCTACATTTCTATTACATACCCAAAAATAGAGATGGTCCATAAATCACATAGGTCACAAGGGCCTCGTCTGGCAGTAATTCTACATAGATTTTTATTGGGAATCTCATCGTTCCCAAGATATTGAAAGAAGGTTGAAAGTTTTTTTTTTTTTCATCCAAGTGGCAAAGCAAAACACAGAGTGATTTTAAGTTAAAGGGAAACTGTCACTTCTGATAATTTTTAACATTATGATTATTTATATTTATACTTAACAAATATGTATTTGTGCAGCATGAAAAATAAAATTAAATGTATAAATCTACACGTCTTTGTCCAGTAACTGGGCACCTCAATCTGAGCTCCCTGTCAATCATTGTTATAATCACTGTCATTTACACCTGGCAGTCAGCTTAAAGAAAGCATTCAGAAAAGAGGAGAGATTAAATATTATTTCTATTTTATCATTTTCATTTGCAATGTTTGCCTTGTCTTAACTTGATTACGTTGTCATTAGCTAAATCTTTAACATAAATTTGAAATAAAACAGAGCATCTCATGGTTAACACAAGTTGTATTTGATTTTCAATGTTTTATAAAATTATGTAAATTCCAGAAAAAAAGGACAATTTCAATAAAAACAATGACAAATCTATAGTAGCTCAGGTTGACTCTACTTACAGAAGTTAGTTCCTCTGCATCCAGGTATAATACGCTAATGGGGAGTTCTTTAGGATACTCATTCTTCTTTATCTCATTTATATGCCTGTGTATTAAAGACGAAAATAGAATAAAAGTAATTTAAAGAAAGAATGAAATAAAAAATGCATTTTTAGAATACTTAAATGAACTCTATAGGCACCCAGGCCACTTCATCTCAATTAAGTGGATTGGGTGCCATGTCACTCTAGTTCAGGAACAGCAATGTTTTTATTGAAGTTTAAATGCCTCTAGTCTAGCGGCTGTTGGCTAATAGAGTTCACTCTATTGGGTATTACATTGAGATCATTGATCTTGGTTGATTGGTTGAGATAATTGATCTTGAGGCTTCTCACATGGCATGGGGCATTAGTAGAGTAAATTACAAACTATAGTGTGCATAGGAATATATGTTTGTACTCTTAACTCTACAGTGTTCCTTTAAGAATAATCTTAATAAAATCAGGCATTATCAGGTATTTGCCAGTTAATAGTAAATAAGCCAAAAGAATCAGACTGGAAAATTATCCAACTGTCCAAGATTTTTTAAACAGGCTATTTGGCTAAAAAATAAAAAGTGCTTTTCCTTGGACGATTCCCCACAATTCCCAGATTGCAGAATAATCCTGTAGCGATTTTCTAAGTAAAACATTGAAATGTTTCCTTTTTCTTTTCTAACAAATCAACCAATAACTTTCTTTCAATTTTAAAATTTCCCAAAATTAAAATAAATCTGACAAATTGTACGGCGGGCACAAAGGTTGAGCTGAACGCTGAACATATCTTATGCCGGCAATGTCTTTTAGATTTGCCCCTATATATATATATATATATGTTGTTTTTCAGAACAAAGGGTTAACAAAGAGTTTATTAAAGGATAACTCACCAGCATAAAGTTGAGAGCCACTTCTCCTTTGTGTCAGAGGAACTATAACAGAATAACAATACAAAGAGAAGTAACAACATCTTCTTCTAGAGGGCAATTTTAGACAAATATAACGGTTCCTTCCTGTGTCCCACAAGCAAACAGACCTTCCTGCTTCTATTTTAACATGACTCGTGTACAGCCTTTATTTCCTTTTTTCTAGTTTCAAGGTTTTCCTATATTTTTTCTTTTAGTTTTATCACCACCAAAATGAACATTGTGTTTCCATTCATTTATAACTACAGTACAGATATAGAATCACGGTATAAAGTCCGTTAACATGACAATCCAGAAATCTGTGCATGTGAAGGAAACACAATTTAGCAACACAAAGCGGAGTGTGGATGTTATGTTAATAAAGGTGATAACTACAGGAATGTGTATAAATACCATTTTAAAAAAATATATTTTTAGAAAATAAATTCTCTCTGTGCACAAATCTAAAAACTACTCATAGATTGTGCTTTTGGAATTGTCAATGGCTTTACTATCAAATAAGTAGTTACAACATTTGGATTTTGGCAGACATTAAAGGAACACTATAGTCCCCTAAATTACTTTAGCTAAATAAAGCAGTTTTAGTGTATAGATCATTCCCCTGCAATTTCACTGCTCAATTCACTGTCATTTAGGAGTTCAATCACTTTGTTTCTGTTTATGCAGCCCTAGCCACACCTCCCCTGGCTATGATTGACAGAGCCTGCATGAAAAAAAAACTGGTTTCACTTTCAAACAGATGTAATTTACCTTAAATAATTGTATCTCAATCTCTAAATTGAACTTTAATCACATACAGGAGGCTCTTGCAGGGTCTAGCAAGCTATTAACATAGCAGGGGATAAGAAAATCTTAATTAAACAGAACTTGCAATAAAGAAAGCCTAAATAGGGCTCTTTTTACAGGAAGTGTTTATGGAAGGCTGTGCAAGTCACATGCAGGGAGGTGTGACTAGGGTTTATAAACAAAGGGATTTAACTCCTAAATGGCAGAGGATTGAGCAGTGAGGCTGCAGGGGCATGTTCTATACAGCACAACTGCTTCATTAAGCCAAAGTTGTTCAGGTGACTATAGTGTCCCTTTAACATTTTAAAATTCTAATAGTACAGTGGACAGTTGTTCAGTGGTATGGTGGATTTCTAGGTAGAGGCTTGGTAGAGTGTCCGTAATAGGCAGTAAATGTAATTTAAATCTAGGCACTATTATCTGGTGTACTGCCTCAAAAGCTATATTTTCTCCTATTAACATCTGTTGACCAATATAATGCCTGCGCACCGAGTTTCATAAAACATTGCAATTGCAATATTCAGGTATCCAGGAAAAGTAGGTAATATTGGCTGTGAGTGAATTGTTTTTTATATATGTATGTGTGTGTGTGTGTATAAATATGACTGTATGTATTGCTTATATACACACATATATAAGCAATACATTGGGCATAAAGTGTTAGAGATCCCCATGCTTAAAGAGATACTCTAAGCACCAACACAACTTGGGTTTAACAAAGTAGTTTTGGTGCACTTGCATCGCTCAATTCTCTTTTGTTTCAGTTTATGCAGCTGTAGCTCCCCTGTCTGTGACTGACACAGCCTCTACCGAAAAAGGGTTTTATTTTTGGTTATATCTTACAGCACAGTGTGTTTATTTGAGAGAATTAAGCAGAGAGAATGCAGAGGCATGATCTATACACTCAAACTGCTTTATTAAGCTAACATTATTTTGATGCCTGTAGTGTGCCTTTAAATGATTATCTTCTGTATACACGCAGTTTCTGTTTACTAAGTTGTAATATATTTTTCTTGGCACTCTGCACGCTATGGCCTTATTTAGCTATTAGATTACTATATGGGGATGAAACAGTTTTCTCAAATTATTTATGGTGGTCTTTCGACACTGAAATGTCTTTCTATAGACAAATAAAAAATACCACAATGACCATATAGTTCAAATGAGGATCTCAATAGAAAGTATACCAATAGAATATATTTTCAGGACAAACTGTTTTTATTTTACTTATTAAGAGCAAATATATGTTTGATTATTTTATATTTTAAACTTTTGATACTACAATGTGCTCACCAATTTTATTTATATTTATTTAAACCTTTTGTATGAGCCTTAAAGGGGAACTGTCACTTATCTGGAATGTACACCATTGAATAAAAAAATTTAATAAACAAATTAAAAACCTCTATAACTTGAGTTTACCTTTATCTACGAGTTACTATGTTTTCTTTTAATTAAAGGGACATTATAATCACCAAAACAACTTTAGCTTAATGAAACAGTTTTGGTGTATAGCTCATGCCCCTGCAGTCTTAGTGTTCAATTCTCTGCCATTTAGGAGTTAAATCACTTTGTTTATGAACCCTAGTCACACCTCCCTGCACGTGACTTGCACAGCCTTCCATAAACACTTCCTGTAAAGAGTCGTCTAATGTTTATCCTTCCTTTATTGAAAGTTCTGTTTAATTGAAATTTTCTTATCCCCTGCTATGTTAATAGCTTGCTATACCCTGCAAGTGCCTCCTGTATGTGATTAAACTTCAATTTACAGAGCAAGAGATAACATTGTTTAAGGTAAATTACATCTGATTGAAAGTGAAACCAGTTTTTTTTCTCATGCAGGCTGTGTCAATCAGAGCCAGGGGAGGTGTGGCAAGGGCTGCATAAACCGAAACAAAGTGATTTAACTCCTAAATGGTAGTGGATTGAGCAGTGAAACCTGAGAGGCATGACCTACACACCAAAACTGCTTCATTAAGCTAAAGTTGTTTAGGTGACTATAGTGTTCCTTTAAATATTTAGCAAATTACATCATAAACCATTTAAGAAAAGGCAAAGCCAGGACAAACATTACAAATGAAGAAGAGCAATAAAAACATTGTTTTATTTCTGCTCCTCTTTGTATGTTTTCTGTGCTGATTGTCAGGTGCAAAGAACAATGTTTATAACAATGATTGAAAGGGGGCTAAGTTGGAGGCATCCAGTTGCAGGATAAAAGGGATGTGGATTTTTATATTTAATTTTAGATTTCACACCGCACAAATATATATTTAGTAAATATTATGGAAAAAAATTCTGAAAAATTACAGTTCCCCTAAAAAAAATAAAAAATATTTTAGAACAAAAAAATTCCCCAAATGAATGTGTTTCTTTTGAAAAAAAAAAACCCCACATAATTACCTGAAAGTTACAATGTAATTTGTTGTAGGCCAACCAAGAACAAACGAATTATCAGAGCTCAATTTCTTTTCTGAGATTTCACTGAGGCAGGAGGTTATCCACAATTCATTTAAATGCACCTGTTTCTTAAGCTTTAGGCTGGAAGAAGATCTATAATAGGTAAATATAATATTGGCATAGTTATATATCATATTATATAAATATAATATTCAGTAGATTTTGTCAATGTAAAAAATGAATAATCCAGAGACAAATTAGGTTATTTACTAAAGTGAGAATTTTAAAGTTTATTTTGCATTTGAGGACAAAGTAGCTGAATTGAAAGCATAGCTAACTTCAAAACTTTTTCCAGTTTGTCTATTTTGACCTCAAATTTGAAATTCACTTTGATATTTACTTTGAATTCTAACTTTAGTGAATAATCCTGAAAAGATATGAAATGGAGGCTGAAGGCTCAGGATAACCGATGAATTATTAGTTTACAAAACAAACAAATAAAATCCAGACAAACACGAGAAAATGTAACAAAAATTATCACAGTTTTTTTTTTATATGTTAATTTATGACTTTGTTTTGTGATATTTTAAAAACGAGCTAGATGTGGCTAGACAGCCCTCACAAATGCCATATAAGATGAGGAATTAAAATAGTTTTAGAAATAGTTAAAAGAGTTGGCAGACGTCCGTCCAGAAAATGAATTCCAAAACCGAAATGTCTGTGATTTGTCGTGAGCGAAACCACAGCTTCCCAAGACTTTATACACAGAGTTATTTGGTGCTTCATCATTCTCAAAATAACATGATTTAAAATTACTGTAAATGGCTCATATTTATTAAAACAGCATCTGCATGCCCTAGCTTTGTGTCATACTAGATCTATTCTTATGGTAATAGATCCAGCTGATAAGTAGGTAGATGCATTCATTGTGTCTGCTTATATTGACAAATAGAATAATGCTATCATTAATTGAATGTTTTTACATCCACAAACAGTACAGGACAAGCCATTTTTTTAGTTAAAATTCTTGCATTCTATACATTCTATTTATTTTTCAATATACTCTGTTTTATGCCATTGTAGTGTAAATTAAAAGATTAATGTTTTCTATTGTTGTGTAAATGTTGGAACAATTTTTCCTTATTTCCAACTCTTCCTGTAATTAGGATGTCTGTGATTTCCTAGTCCTATATCCAAAAGCTAACTACATGCAACATGAGATTGCCTAACCTCAGATCGAGCAATAAATAATATATCACTAATCAAATCAAAATTGACATTCTACTATTATGACCAAGAAGCAAATCCCATAAGGTAAAATATGCAGTACAATATTTACAAAAAATGCAAATTTAAAAAAAAAATGTGGCAGAGGAAGAAAAAAATATATTAAATATATATAAATATATATTAAAAAAAATTGGTATAATATTGTTTAATGGATATAAAGACAGATCTACATAATAAACCTTAAAGGACCACTATAGTGCCAGGAAAACATACTCGTTTTCATGGCTCTATAGGGTCCTTGGGTCCTCCTCACCCTCAGGGCCCCCCTCCCGCCGGGCTCTAGGGTGAGGAAGGGGTTAATCCCTTACCTTTTTTCGAGCCCCGGGCTCCCTCGGTGCTGGGGACTCTCCTCCTTTCCCGTCATCGACTGAATGAGCATGCGCGGCAACAGCCGCGCGCGCATTCAGCCTGTCTCATAGGAAAGCATTCTCAATGCTTTCCTATGGACGCTGGCGTCTTCTCACTGTGAAAATCACAGTGAGAAGCGCGGAAATGCCTCTAGTGGCTGTCAATGAGACAGCCACTAGAGGCTGGATTAACCCATATGTAAACATAGCAGTTTCTCTGAAAACTGCTATGTTTCTCTGAAACTGCTATGTTTACAGCAGGCAGGGTTAATCCTAGATGGACCTGGCACCCGCATCACTTCATTAAGCTGAGATTTTGAAGACTTTGCTCCACACACATAATGTATACTCTTAATGCAGCCACTAATGGTTAACATGTAACAGTCCTCATTATTTGCTGCTTCAGTACAATTAAGGACAAACTTTGTATTTATTTTTTGCCCAGCTTGAAAGATTTTGAGAAACATCAAACACATCCAACAGCGTTTATTTTGTTTTTGTTTGGAAAACTTAAATCCAAAAAAACAAAATCCTAAAAATGTAAGATGAAGCAAGTTACTTGTGTTGTTCTTACTTTGACTTTGCGATGACAAGACTGTCATTAAATAGAAACAGGTGTCTCTCTTGAGTCTGCCACCCATTTGTGAGCTGTACCCGCTCCTTCAATATGAGCATATTGCTAGGACTACAGAAAGCACCCAGGAGAAGTCCATTCCCTGAATTGGCAGGAAACAATGTGATCTCCCTAAGAAAATAAAACAAAAATCAACAAATGCACATAGTGACAGGGACATGCATTCATTTAAATAAACAGCTACATAGTTACATTGTAATAAAGGTAATAAAATGCATCACGTTCAACCATAAGTAAATCATAAAAAAATGCATGTAAAGTAAAAAAAAATAATAATATCACTATCTTTAATAATTGTAACTCACATGCTAATAAAATGATAGCAGATCCAGAATAAACCCAAAGTACATTGTAATACACATTCCAAAATGGTGATATTTATAATGGAAAAAAATGGTGTATACTGTCATGTTGAATAAAAATATTTATTCTTGAAATAAAAAGCGGGAATTGCACTTATTGGTTAAAATCACTATAAAATGTATTAAATATAGTATGACATTATGTATATTTTACTTTCTACAGTATCACACTGTATGTTCTTTAAATGGTGTAATATCCAACCTTAGACCTATGACCTTGAACTGGGCAATTGAACTTGATAGGCTGGAGCCTTATTTCAACCTTGATTCCTATGTTACTGTGTGTTCTATATGTGGTCATTATGAGCAACACCAATCCACCATTAGGATTTTCTGTTGTCCCTGACGAACAAGTATACTTACATTTTCTCTTTTTACACATGTGGTTTAAAAGTGTATTTCAGTTTTTTGCTGTATATGTAAATTTCCATAGAAATCTGTAGCTCACTAAGAATAGCAGTTCATATTGGATCTTTAACACGGGTCTCTTAATGGTGGGAAATAAATATCATGTTTCCTATATTGTGATAACACCTGCAGTCAATACTGGATGGTGATCATTGACTTAGTTTATACTTACTGTGTTTGTAAATGTTATGCTAAAAATGCATACATATGACTTTAGCTGGAACTACAGCAGCCAATCAGGAGCAACATTGGCATCTAGATTATAGGAACAGACCTCCATGTTATAGTTCTATACATTGCAAACCAAATAATAACTCCCTTGTATAGTGGATATGGTGCTAGAAGTGAGAATTTCCCTAGCACCATAAGAAAATAAGTAATTAAGCTGTTTTCAAATGATGTAACACGTACCTGGGTTCCCTAGTTGCCCCCAGTCCCTTTTTGCTGTAGAGTTATCAATTATGTTCCTGTTTGGTTGGAATTCACTGGTTGAGAGTGTCAGCTAGTGCTTTTAGTAAATGAATTACTTACAAACACAGTTATAATTAACATCAGTTAAGCATAAGTATTTACCTATGTGTTAGATAGTAATCTCATAAGAGGAGGTCGGACCAGAGGCATCTGTGGGATCTTTGAAAATGGTATGACTAGTAGGGTACTGTAGGGTGGCACCAGGGAACTCTTGGCATCATAACCACTACTGCATGCTGTAGTGGTTATGGCACTTGGACTATCCCTTGAAATGAGGAAACATGGGTTCTTAAAACTGAGAATCAATAAGTGTCTTTGTCTGGTCTGCCCTACCCCAATTACAAATGTCACACATTGTACTTATGATTTTGTTTTCTGCTCAAATAACCTTTCCATGCCAAGCGAACACATTTAGGACTGCTCCTACAAACAGCACTTTGTAGATTCATTTGTTCACAAAACATCACAAATGATTGTAAACTTCAGTTAATATATATTACATCCAACAGTTTCAAAATCGATATTACTTTGATTTGATATTGATTTTCATCCATTCGCCGACTTAAAATTTCTACAGAATTATATCTCATTCTTTGGGAAATTTTAGGATACATTTCTTAAGAACAAGTATCCCAAAACAACATTTATTTAGAAAACCGGATAAATTAGGTGTTATGAATTCTCTTGAGAATATTCTGGCTTAACCTAGTGATATTTCCTTTTCCATTGCAGAAATAAACATCTCTAAAAATGAACAGTCCAAAATTTGGAAAACTTGTATGCAAAACCATAACAAAAGGTTATACGTCTCTGACTCAAAAAAATTGTGCCACAAAGGAATCATTTGTAGATACCAAGAAGGTACAAGACAAAAACAACAAGTGGCACCTCCTTGAAACTCTGTCCAAGTACAGTCCTGGTAGGGGCTCAGGCCCATTTAAATTGTGGTGGTGTCGGTTCTAAAATTAGTGTTGCATAAAAAATATTATTATGAAGAATTCTTCTAGAACAGAGAAATTGTACAGGAAACACAACAGGAAGCCTGGTCATCTCTATCCAAAAATTGCAATTTCAAGCAACAGGAAAACAAATATCTCCTTATCAAGTATATAATTTTAACCTCTATTATTCACCCTCTGAACATTGCTATCAATAACAGAACAATGTTCTAGATAGCTGAGCCTTATAGCAAAGAAAATCCAGACAAAACCTTATTTTAAGCCTTTACATTACAACTACTCTGATAAAGTATACAGATTGTTTTGATAATACAGGACAAATGATGATTATGTATACCAGTATTTGAGCCAATCGATAGTGCTGAGTCAATCACAGCATATAAAATCCAGACATGATTGTGTAGACTAAAAGTAATTCTTGGTGTTGGATCAGGACACCACATGACTGGCGGCATGTAAGGGTAAGTGTAGACACCCTTACAACCTCTAAATGCAAGAACTTATCTTCCACCACCTAACAACATGAGCACTAACTTGTGTTGGATGGATCCATGTTATTTGGAAGGTAGAGAGTTTTTTACCATAGAGTTAGGATCTTATATGCTGATTACTGAAACCTACTGGTGGTGACACAGGGTGGGTCCGATTGCAGATTTTTTGTTATTGTCTAGGGGTAAGAGTCATTCCCAAGGTCTCTTCCCATCTACCAAATATTTAGGGCTAGGGGTTCTCAAATGTTCTTGGAGAATTGCATACAAGGGTCTTAATGCCATACTCCATTGGATCTGGGTCAATTAGCAATTCAAAGTGGGTAGGTTCTTGGAGAATGTTGTCCACAAAAGCAACCAGTTGCCTACACATGAGCTGCTTCATGAATGTTGGTTGGTGGGGCCCCATTAGAGCAGAGAGACTTAAGGACATCACCATTAAAGAGATGGTGGACGTGACCAGTTGTATTATCCAGGAGTCTCTTAAAGGCAGGCACGGAGGCCTTCAAGAAGGGGGATGCCACACATGGAGCACTAAATTGCCTAAGGGAACTGATTTTGAACTCCTAGTGAGCATCATAAAAGATTCGTCTTGACCCTTCAGACCACGACCAGCCAGGAGAGGTGCGGCACTGCACTGTGCCACAAATTTGTGTTGGGCCACTAGAAAGTGAACCTCAGATGGATGGGCTCGGCCCTGCTGTTCTGGGATAGACACATTCAGAATAGCAGACTTTGACTAGTTTATACGTAGGTTTACGAGAGAGCCATAGGTCTCAAAATCCTGCAAATTGGTAACATCAAATAACAAGTTGTCTGGGTATGCTGCTACTTTGTGTCCAGTCTTGCCAAAAGTCTCATTATATCAATGATTGTGCCATGCGGTCCATGATTGTGTTTAAGAGCATTTAGAAAGTGCTCAAGGGTAAGGATTCCTATTGAGTGCCATTTTGATTTTGAAACGGTTCCATGAAAGTCACATTAATGCATTCTCTAGCAGAGGGCGATGTGTAGCATTTGCACAATTTTTATTTATGATTAGTGGGCATGTATAATGTAAGAGTGGCTTATTTAACATATGCATTGTGACGGTAGTCACCATCACCAAGAACTTAAGATGGACAATTAAATTAGGTATCTGAATGATTCCTATGTTTAAGTCACCCTGTGTCCATTGTGCGTGCAGGGTGTGTGTGTAATGTGGTTGTTTGGGGTTAAATGTTAGTGTGCTCTCTAGTCTTGCTAATGTTTGCAATCAACTAGGTGGATTTGGCTGTGGAGTCTGTACAGAGCCACCTGTTGGTTGCAAGGATCTAGTAACAGTGATATACACTACCTGAATAGCAAGGATTGCTAATTTGCATATTCATGTAGATTTGCATAATGCTAATTCTGCAAGCAGGAGAGATATTTTCTGTAAATTATTGTTTTCCCCACCCCTTTATAAATATGGCAGTGTGTTATAATACGTTGCTCTATGTTGTCTGCTATGATTTGATTGTTTGTATTTTTATTGAGTTGTCATATTAATCTAAATGTTATGAGCATTTGTGCTAGTCCTGACTAAAAAATAAAAAAATGGCATGTTAGTTCCACTTGGAACTGGGTGTCCTGTGTAGATTTGTATGGATCCCAGTGACAGTCTTCAGACCTGTTTGCAGAATCCCTCTTACCCTGGGATAAAGCAAGAGGCTTGGCCTGAGTGTCATGAGTGTCTTTACAAAGATAGGAGCTATAACATTACAGGCGGATGTGTATACCTCCCTGGAAGCAGGGCTGCAGCGGAATTTGGCAGAGGATAAAACCTGCCTGGAAGAAGAGATGCAGCTTGGTTGGTTGGAAGAGCTCCTGAGAGACCCCAGTCAAGCTTCAGTGACTGAGGTAGAAGTGTTCCAGATTCCTGGCAAACGGCTAGGAAGCGGATTGGATGGAGGTACTCGGTCGGAGTACAGGAGCTCCGTCACATGTACGCAGTGCCCGGCGTACCCTTGAAAGGAAATCAAACCGGTTGACATAGCACCTAGACCAGATCTGAGTGCCTTTTTCATATTTTCTCAGAGGTAGCAGATGAAATAAAATATCTTTATCTGAAATATCTGAAGCTCAAATACAACAAAATTCTAATATGAGTAATTAGCTCAGTTTAGTCATGCCAGATTTGCCATGAGAATTCTTTCATATCTCAGCACTGGAACGCAACATCAAAATTAATTTCTAAGCTAAGAAACTCTTAAGCAGAGATAAACACCCAGAGCAATTATTTATAAGAGAGCAGGCAGATAAACAGAACTGAAAATCTTTTGGCTGCTGTTGTCTCTTCTATGTTGTTATGTAGGATGAGAAATTAGTTTTTGGTGTTGGATTAAGATAATGTGATTTTCCTTTTATTCATCTGTGATGTTTAAAAAACAAAAACACTAAAAACACAGTACAATGAGAAAATTGTTCCATCTAGTGATATTAATACACATTTCTTAACAAAAAATAACTTCCGTATTAATTTGGTAAAACCTCCTGTATGTCCCTATGGAGGCTACTGACAGCTTATTCATTCAACCAAATAGCAGATACATTTACAAAACTGTTGTTTATTGAAAATGGTGCAAAGTTTTAAAGTAGAGCAATCACCATGTAAACTAATGGATTCAAATGGAACATTACGTTAGTTTCCATGGTGATTTATCTACTGTTTTTTATTTTTTTATTTAAGTACTAGAGTTACTTAAGTACTTCAGCTCCGATTGTTTGCAGTAGATCAACATACTGGCAGGTAGTTTTTCTACATTTCACATATCCACAGGTGTTCCTCCTTATTTCCACTGTGATCATTTTTGAGAGTCATATGTTTACACCTCTATTAAAATTTCGTACCTGGAGTTTGATTTACTTTTGCTCAGGGCCCTGGTAATTGCAGACGAGGAGCGTCTTCGTTGGACTGAAGCCCTCATCTTCTACAAGAGAAAGAATAGCAGAAGTATTGTTAATACATGTTCCAGGCCAATGGTAATACACAATAACATACAATACACAGCGTGAGTGTCAATACATTTTGTCAGTGCCATTATTTATTTCCCGTATTCTCCCAACCCGCCAGTAAAGAGTATAAAACACATACAGGGTTATTTACTTAAGTGAGAATTCCAAGTGAATTCAAACTGTATTTCAGAATTCATTTCAAAGTATCCCTAATGGAACACTTCTCTAAGTCAGCCTTGCTTCTAGTTCAGCTACTCTGGACTCATTTTTGAAATTCACGAACAACACAACATGGATGAAAATGTACAAATGTAGGGAGCAGTAAAAACCTCCAGTATAAAAAAAAAAAAAGTAATGCCAAATAAAAAAGAATAAGCCAGCAAACTTAGAAAAACATGAAAACGGCTCCTGTGTAAGCAAAACAACGCTTTGTGGGTGCTCTCTGCTGTGCACTAAATAAAAGGACACTACACTACTTTTAGAGAGCGCTGGACCATTATTTTCTAAATTTGAAAGTCACTTTGAATTACCTCTTCAGTAAATAACCCTGATAGAGCTGTTCCAGCTCGACTATTTTGGGCTATTTCTCAATCCTTGACTAAAGCTCCACAAGAGGTCAAAATGTTCTTGGGTCACTTTTATGGTGGTTGAATAAATGAAGCTAATATGTAACTTTGAGTGGTGAAGTGACTATAGAGTGGTGAAGTGACACATCTGGCTAGTGAACTGCAAGTCAACTAAGTATACATTCACCATAAATACTATACAGTTTACTAGCCAGATGTATCACAGCAAGTGTGCTCTATAGCCATGCATGCACAGTGTCGTGTGTACATATAAAGTACAGTATTAACGGGTAAAACAACAAAGACGTTGTTTTTTTTGACAGAGTTTTTCCATGAGTCTTACATTTGGAGTCTTATGCTTCTTGATAATATTGATAGCCGAAATTAACTACACAAAAAGTATTATTTAAGAAACTAAATTAAAAAAAGATGTCAAAGGCATTGTAAAAATAACC